ACGGGATCAGACAACGACGTCCCGCCATACGGCCTATCCTGACACAACGTCATCGACAAGCTCGCCGAATGTGGTGCCGAAATCATGTCCGCAGACCCTTGTTTTGGTGGAGAAATGTTGTTTTTACAGATGAGTCCAGGTTTAACATTTCCCATAGTGATGGACGTCAACGTGCCTATAGACGCGTGGGAGAACGTTATGCACAGGCCTGTGTCTTGGAGAGGAATCGCTTTGGTGGTGATTCCGTGATGATTTGGGGTGAAATAACAGCACGCCAAAGATCTCCTTTGGTGATTGTTCAGGGCAACTTAACTGGTGTGGGCTACAGGGATCAGATTCTTCGACCTGTGGCAATTCCTTTTCTGCAACATCATGGCCCTGGGTTAACATTCCAACAGGACAATGCACGCCCTCATACGGCAAGGGTTGCTATGGATTTCTTGCAACACCACAACGTTGACTTACTGCCTTGGCCTGCAAATTCACCGGATCTCTCCCTGATAGAGCATGTTTGGGACGAGATGGATCGACGTCTACACCGTCTTTCTCATCCGCCAGATAACGTCCTTGACCTTGCAACAGAGCTTGAGAGAATCTGGTGTGACATCCCATAAGCCTTCCTTGCACGTTTGATAGGCTCTATGCGTCGTCGATGCACTGCTGTTCTCAATGCCGATGGTGGACATACCCGTTATTGAGCTTGTGACATGGTCGTTTGACCCCTGTCCCGCTTGTGGACTCATGACCTCATTGTGATTGACTTTTTAATCGAAATTCTCCCGACTTATGGTCTCATGATCCCTCCATTAAAGTTTATATGTACCTTTGACATTGTTATCGTACTTATCAACTGGGATAATATTTTGACAATGCACAGTTTCTTTATGTGGCTAGTATATTTTCCCAGCTTCCGGACACTTTTATGTTTCCACTTTTATTGGACATTCATATTCACAATTTCGTTTGTTAAATTATATTTAACATTTTGAGGATGTTTAAGAACATAGGAAAATGTAACAACGGGAGCGGACTTATATACACTACCCTATACTTCGTGTATGTAAATAACATAGCAATTTCAAGCTATGTCATAATTTTGCTTAATGCTACTTGGGAAATGAAAAGCATGACTGAAGCATGACCACAGCACTACTAAGATGCGCATGCGCCTTGACCTTATGATATTACGCATGCGCAACGACAGCGTCGAAATGTGGCGTTCTCGCGATTTCGTGTTTTTTGTGGCCTTATTTGACAAGTCGAGATTGCGAGATTGCGAGATTTGACAGCATGTACAAATGTCGCATTCTCGCGATGTCGACTTTTGACAAAAACTGATATGTACCAAAAAACACGAGAATGCGAGATCGCGATATTTTGTCCAAATCTCACATTCTCTCTATCTCCGCATTCTCGCACTTTTGGCATTTTTAGCTTGTTTCCAAAGGTCGAAATCGCGAGAATGCGAGATCGCGAGAATGTCCCTTACAGTATTCCATACGAAAGAGAACGTGCACTAGGCATGATTCAGGTTGGCGCCAGCAGCAGGGATATTGCTCGACAACTTGGACTTGGCCACTCCACCATCGTTAGGCTTCATAGACGACATCAGTAGACAGGCAGCACCCGTGACCTTCAATGACCTTGGCAACAACATGTTAAGACGCTCCATCAGGATCGCCATATTGACCTTGTCCATATCAGTGATTGAACACTGCCGACTGCCAGGACTGCTGCACTAGTTCAAGGTTGACGTGGGGGTCAAGGTTCAAGGTTGACTCCATGCGACGCCGTCTACACGCTACAGGGCTCCATGCTCGACATCCTTACGTTGGACCAATTCTGACTGACAGACACCGTAATGAGCGCATACAATGGGCTAGCAGGCATTTTCAGTAAAGGTTACAACAATGGCATGGTGTGGTAGTCACTGACGAGTCACGTCTTCATCTACGTAATGCTGACGGCCGATTACGCGTTTGGCGTAGACGTGGTGAACGTTATGCTGATGAGTGTGTGGTTCAGACAGACCTTTGGGTAGTGGGAGTGTCATGGTCTGGGGAGGAATAAATTACAATCACAGGACTGCCTTCATGTCTGTCAAGGGAGAGTTAATGCCCTTTATTACCGTGAGCAGATTCTTCAGAATCCCATCGTATCTGTCTTCAATCACCACCAAGATGTCCATACTATTCAACAGTACAACGCACGGACACACACAACAAGACTTGCCATGCAGTATCTGGCCTAGCAACGCATCCAGATTATTCATTGGCCAGTACAGTCGCCAGATGTATCCCTCATGGAGCACTTGTGGGACGAAATTGGTCAAAGTCTTTCGCGGCGACAACAGATGCGAAACATCCGGGAACTTGAGGCTGCACTACTGCAGAAGTGGAATGCCATCCTCAAGAACTCTATGACTCAATGAGGAGACGTTGAACTGCATGTGTCAATGCAAATGGCGGTCACACGCGATATTGAATTTTCGATTTGACCC